CAACGACCCATACACTTCCCGAGAGCCCGGACTATGGTTTACTTAGGCATCGTTGCCTCATATCAGAACTTTGAGCTGCAAACGTGCCGACATCGGCTTGCCATTGCCATGCAGACCAAGCATCGGTTGATCAAAGTCTTGCACTCCGCTGATCTCTCTCTTAAGCATAGGCTTAGATTGTATGTTGCTTGTGTAAGGAGCACAATGCTGTACGGTCAGCATGCCGTAGGAGTCACCACGTCTGTTATGCATCGTCTCGATGCTGCTGACTCGCGTGCCCTGCGGGCGATCTCGAAGTCGCCGAGCTTTCTGACCCGGGAGTCCACCTCTGCATTGCGGCGGAGGCTTGCTGTATCCTCGCCTGCTGAGGCGTTGGCTAAACTACTCAAGGGCCGTATTCAAGCCTGCAAAGATGTGGACTCCTGCAAGTTCTTTTCTGCCCAGCTCGAACTCTTGCAGCCAATTTCGGAGCCTGCCACTGCCAGTCTTATCCCCAGGGCTGTAACGGTAGGTGTGCCCTGTGATGTGTGCGGAACATACTTCCCCGATCGCAGAATTATGCTCTCGCACAGGGCTAGGAAGCATCCTGAACACTGTGAACCCAAAACTCGTATGACAGCTGAGGAGTATGCCGGCTCCACGGTTGATGGCATGCCACAGTGCGCTAAGTGTGGGTGTAAGTTTACCAGGGTAGAAGGGCTCAAAAAGCACTTACGAAAGGAATGCCGACCGTGTCAGCCGCCAGAGCCGTCTGTTTCCGCCGCTTCCGTAGTAGCCACAGCACCGGGGACCACAACGGGACAGGTGGCCCAGGGGCCCACCGCCCGGAGGGAGTCGCCTAGGGGCCGGCTCACCTCTGTGGTCCCCCAGACTGATTGCATCTTGCAGCCCGGTTCGCACGGAGAGGTCGCGTCAGCTGAAGTCACTGCCATTGCACCCACTCCTAACAGCTCACCAGTACAGGGTCTCATTCAGGACGTAGGGTTTCAAAGTTCTCTCCGAAGTGGCTGGAAGCTGGCACTAGCGCAGGATTCTCACAGGGTCACCCTTCGCAATTACTGCGTGCTGTGCGGACAATGGGTCGTCATGCGAGGGCCTGGCATCAAGCAGCACATTCGGCTGATGCATCCGGAGGTACATGCGCAGCATGCCACAGCTGCCGCGTCTCGTAGCAGCCATTTGGGCCTGAGAGTCACCAACCCCTGCCACTACTGCCTGCAAGACGTCCAGGACATACGCACGCATCTGAAGAAGTGCCCAGTAGTCTTTCAAGCCTCTCTTGCCGCGCTGGTACTTGCGCAGGATGGCCGGCGAGGACGATCGAGCATCTGCGGCACAGGCGGAGCTGCAGGCAGTCCTGGGAGGAGGAGGCCTGGGATCGGGATCGAGAATGGATCTCGAAGGACCGCCAGCGGACACGGCGACACCGGCCCCCAAGGAGACTCCAGAGAAGCCTCTGGGGTCACAGGGCTGGGGGAGGCAGCAAAAGTGGCCTCGCACGGACTCCAAGGGCAAGGGCCCTTCGGGCTGGGCCGGATGGGGCAGCAAGAGGCAGTGGGAGGAGGACGAGGCCGAGAAGGGGGAAGCTGCCAAGCTGGACAAGCAAACCCAAGCTGTGATCCAGTCCTTGGTCCAGCTGTCGCTACGACACGAGGCGGAGTTGGGGAGGATTCGCTCGGAGAGTGCATTCATCTTCTTCCTGGATATGCCGGGCGTGAACCCGGAGCTCGGCATCATTCCTGGGGTACGGATGGTGGCCAAGGAGTGGACGACCCAGTACACTGCAGGAACGGTGAAAAGCCCGCTGCGGACTCTGCTTCTCATGGCTGTGGTCCGCGAGCTGAAGCAGCGACTGGAGCAGTTCCTCGCCAACGAGGAGAGGTGCTCCAAAGCCCAGGCTCTGGGCTGGCTGTGCGAGGGCCACAACGCTCTCGATCCCCTGTGGACATACTGGGGCTGGAATCCTCGCGAGAAGCGCCAGGAGCGAACAGAGCAGCCCCCGGTGCAGAGCACGGTCATCCAGGCCCAACTGCACGCCCTGGAACAGAATCTGGGGAAGGAGGGGGTGCTTCTCAACTTTCGCTGCACCAAAGATCTCGAGGAGGAAACCGAAGCCGAAGTCCTGCCCCTTCATGGCCACGGTAGGGTTTCGATCAAGCGAGGCGAACGCAACGTACGCCACTCTGCAAATGCTCTCGGGCAACGCAGTCTGCAAGCTTATTGGCACACGAGTGCGGCCGGAAAGGCTGGCACGCCAGCCAGTGGCCAAGCAGCTGGAGGAGAACTACCTGGCCACATCGTACTGCCCGTGGGCGCGGCGGTCGCGGCGCTGAGCGAGCCCACTGGCCTAGGTCGGCCAGCTGGGGAAGCTGGGTCGGAGGGGACCCAGCTGCGCATTCGCGAGCACCTCAGTAGCTGCAGTCTTCCTGTTGCCAAACTCAAGAACTCTAGTAACTACTGCTATGTTAACTCTACTGCCCAGGCCCTTTACTGGATTGGGGAAATGAGCAACGATTCCAGCTCAGCTTATGGAGGTGCAGCACGCAGTTTTGCTACGTTGAGCAAGAGTGGTCAGGTTGATATTGCTGCTAGTCTCTTATGGCGTAGACTGTTAAGTCAGTGGCCCAATCCGCTGCAGCAGCATGATGCAGGGGAATTCCTACGGCATGTTTTGACACTTCTGCAGCCTGGAGCCTACCAGGGTTGCTGGCAGGCCAGACTGAGCAATCCAGCACACACAGTGGACTCAGGCCCGCTCACCATGCCGGTGCTTCTGCACATAGCAGGCCAAACTTTGCCAGACCTGTTCGCCAACTGGCACATGCAGTATGCCGTACATGCCTTGCAAGCACATAGAGGGCTTCTCATCTGTAGGATCGTGCGATTCGATTTCAGCAATCAGGGTGCAGCCAAGAACCTCTCACCAGTGTTCATCCGGCCAGGTGAAAGCATCGCGGTTCCCGTCTTTGAGGGGCCTGCAGGTGTGAGTGTCCAGCACGAGGCCTTTCAGGTCGTGTTTCAAATCTTTCATGTTGGCCCTCATGTTCATACGGGACATTATCAGTGTGCCCTGAGTGTACCCCAAACGCACGGTTCGCAGACGCGGTGGCATGTGCAGATTTGTGATGACAATAAAGCCCCGCGCCGTGCTAAGCCCTCCGACCTCCAAACCATTGCCCACAATGTGTACTTGGTAGGTCTCGTGCGATCCAATTAAGAGCTCGTCAGGCTTATGGTTCGGCCGTTTGTACAGCATGCCTCGACGGAGGTTGTGGGCTGAACCAAAGCCCCAGCACCACTGTTGCGCAGCAGACATCCGAAGAGATGTCACAATCCGCATTTGTCCAATGTTCTGCAAAAGTTTGTTTCGTTGTTGTACAAGTTGTAGACTTTCCTTGGTGGCCTGAAGCCTTCGCCCGAACAATTTCACCTGGTAGTGCTGCTCAAGCTGTCCTCGCGCTACTGCCAATTCCTGGCCTTTTCACGCCAGCTGCAGGCGCGACTTGCGTGTTGTCTAGGCTAAGCACCAGCACTTCCCTACACCCTGTGCCTGCTGCGATTGCCCTCTGTTCGAGCCTGTAGCGAATCCGGTGCCATGGCTCACGAGGTTCCATTCCCTGTTGATGTGTATACTGCTGCGCTTGAAGAGTTTCTGCTGTTACACACTGCTCGCTCCTTGCTGCAGCAACAGCGGCATGGCACCGTCCCACCAGCCATGGGGATGGCCGTTAGAAACGACCTCATTGCCTGGGCGGTAGATGCTCTGTCTACGCCATACAGAGAGGACTTTCTGCGATATGTTGAGGCCCTGGATAAAAAGCTTCGTCGCTGTCTGCCCACGTTTTTGCCGGAGCCACTTGGGGAGCCGGGACCCACCACACTGCAGGCGGAAGCCATTGCCTGGCACTTTCTTAATGAAGGGGGCACGCCAATCTGGAGTGCCGTCAGGCAGGCGGTTTCGGCTCTTGCATGGCAGCCGTGCCAGCGTACATTTGGGGACCTCACGCCTACCAATGTCCTGGTCGGAGCATTTCACTCGGGTCCATATACTGGCATCACGAAGAGCACCAAGCTGTATCCATCGTTCAGCCGGCTGATCAATCGCTTCATACAGCACCTGTATCCCAGCCTCATTTGGAGCACCTTCTCCATTAGCCGAAACCTACGCACACCGCCACATCGAGACCACAGTAACGCTCCCACGGGTAGCCTGCTTGCGGCGCTGTCTCATCATGATGGTGGGGGCCTGTGGCTGGAGGACGGCTGTGGGGAGGTTTATGAGGATGTGCAGGGCAACCTTAAGTGTGGCCGCATTGTTCGCTTGGACTTCCAGTGCTTGGTTTTTCCGGCACACAGAATGACACACAGCACTTGTGGCTGGGAGGGCACCGACCGCATAACGTTGGCTGCATACTGCATTGGCACCGTGGCCAAGCTGACCAAATCCCAGTTTGCTTTATTGGAGAATCTTGGTTTTTGCCCTAGGTCGTCCATTCCAGGAGACGATTCCATGTGTGATTGAGCATGGCAAAGCAGCAAGTCCGATTGCTACTAGGATGGTTGTTTGCTTTAGGGTTGCCGGTTCCCCTTTTGGGGTTAGGTTCCCCTTTTTGCTTTTCTCCCTTCCTGGAGCCTTGCGCATGTTGCAGTCGAGTGCAGTGTGTGCCGAGTGTGCAGAGCCGAGTTTCGTGTCAAAAGTGGGACTGTGCACCGAATGCATGCACGACGGGGTGAGCTCTGCCACAGCAAGTAATCTGACACATAGTGGCAAACGCTCGCTCCCGATGCAGGTCATGGCGCAGCGAACGCTGATGCAGTCTATGAATGCGGCTATGGCAGCTTCAGGTGGTGAGGAGGATGAGTTCCGGGCGCGTATTTGCGCTACTCCGGGGTGCGGTAGGGCTGTGCACACGGAGGGGCGCAGTCGCTGTTGCTCTGGCTGCTCGCAGGGCTTTCACTCCAGGCGCTGTGATTCGTTTTTCTGGCAGCATCAGCGTATTTCAGTCAGTGCCTGCATTGTTCTTGGCTGCGATCGACTTGCTGGACAGGGTCATGTCAGTTGCTGTTCCACCTGTAAGCACAGTCAGGGAACTATGCATTCAGTTCACTGCAACAGGCGCCAGAATCGCCTTGTTAGGGCTGGCGGTTCTGGCACCAGCAATGCCGATGCCGGGGACGCAGGATTTTCGGGCTCCGCACCTGCTGCCTCTTCTATGGCGCCCTTGGGCGACAGTGTCTTGGCCACGACTGGAGGGATTTTGGAGATGGCGGCGATGCCATCACTACCTAGTACTATGACGACCTCTTCAGCTGGCGGGACAATGGCAGCCTCGACGTGGCAGCAGTCTATGCCAGTCGGCAGCGCATCCAGCATCACGATAGATCTGACTGAGCTGGATTGAAGATTTCTGCTGGCATATCGGAGTCAGGGCAGAGCAGCTGCTCAGTTTTGGTGAAGGAGATGGCTTCAGCGACACTGCTTCGAGTTTACCATTAGGAGTCAGTGCTAGAAGGATCTCCAATGGGAGATGCAGCCAACAGAGCTGCCGGGCTATGCCTGCCTTTCGTCGAATCATCGGGATCGGTGAGACGTGTGCAATGCAATACTACTACTACTACTACTACTACTACGACTACGACTACGACTACGACTACGACGACGACGACTACTACTACTACTACACCATCATCGATCATCATCATCCATCATCATCCCTCATCATGCATCATCATCACCATCATCANNCCCCCCCCCCACCCCCCCACACCCCCCACCCCCCCAAATCCGAAGCCGAATGTATCAAAGTCGCGCAGTGGTTTTTGAGACAAGAAGAAGTGGCATGACAGGACGAACGTACCGAAAATACCGAGTAAAACGAACGTGCTCTTAAGAGGGTTGGCAGCAGAGGTGGTTGGTAGGGGGGGGGCGCCTACTACTACTACTACTACTACTACTACTAGGAGCGTAGTGCATAATTGACGCCATGTTTTTCCTTACTTTACATGCCTAAAACTCGGGTTTTAAGCACATTTTACTATTTCCCGGGAGGGGGGGGGGCGTTTTCTGGAAACCTTCATTTGGGAATTGTGTCTTTGGGTTTTGGGCTTCAGGTTGAGGGTGGAGGTGTCAAGGCTTCGGGGTTCAGGCTGATGGGGGCCTTGAATTTGGTATGAGGGCCTTGGATTTGCTATGAGAGCCTTGCGATTCCATGAGGGCCTTGGAATAAATTTTCAGCACTTGTATTTGGCTTGGCTTTGGCTTGGCTTGGGGGGGGGTTGCTTGGGGCTGGTGGGTGGGCGGGGGGTTTAGGGTTGAGGGAGCTTTTGGGTTTAGGCTCCCGGGTCTAGGATTTAGCGAAAGCAATGCAAGGTTTTGGGTTTGGGCTTTCGGGATTGATGTTTTTGTTTCAGGTTTATCCCTAAAGCCTTAACTCTTTTGCCCTTAACCCTAAACCCAAGCTCCCGGGTTTAGGATTTAGCGAAAGCAATTCAGGGTTTTGGGTTTGGGCTTTCGGGTTTGGGTTTTTAGCTTCGGCTTTATCCCTAAAGCCTTAACCCTTTTGCCCTTAACCCTAAACCCAAGCTCGCGGTTTTCGGATGTCACCTTCCAGGCCCCCGTACTGGCTTTCTGTTTCTATGCATTGGCACCAGAGACTCTGCCTTCAACAGGACCTGCAAGACAGACTGGCAAGCTTTGCGGCCCAACCCCGTGGACCGATTCAGCTCGTAGTCCGTGGGTCGAGACATGAATTTCAAGCGACAGTACGACTCCATGGGTTCTAAGAATCTCTGCTGGCATGCATGTGCTTCCGCGGAAAAAGCTCCAGTGCAACAAAATAGTACTGATGACATTTTGGGCAACACATGCACACATGCTGTGTGGCTGACCTTTTCTGCACTGGGCTGGAAACAAGACTACTGTGGCGCTTGCAACGCCAACGCGGACACTTCGTGGGCTTATCCACAGCCCCGTACTCCAGCAGCTTCTGCCAGGCCACCTGGTCCTGTGGGTGGACCACTGGCGGATCCAATCACCCAGCTGGGCCACAAGAAGGCGAGCACCGATGCGCCACGCCCCCGGCAAGATGGTCAGAGGCCTGTGGCCTGATACCGGCTTCTCAATGAGGACCACTCTTCCGCGCCTCCATCCATCCGGCGTCACACCGAGCTCCACGACCCTCGCCCAAAGTCTGGCGAATGCAGTCCAAAAGCCCTCAGGCAGCAACACCCACTTAGCACCGAGCCAGTCATCGGGTCCCGCCGCCTTAGTCGCAGTTGCCCTCGCGCTCTGCATCAGGGCCTCAGCCGTAAAGGATGGGGTCCAAGGTTGCTCCGGAATCAAAGGGTGGGCCGCGATCATGCCGTCCACCTGCCCCTTCGCACCACTCCGCCCCCACAGCGATCCACGTGACCATCTCCTGCTCCGATTGCCCCAGCCGCTCGCGCCACTGGCTAATGGCCTCCGTCTTCTGCCTCTGCTCGAGCTCGCCGATGCGGTCGTTCAACGAGCCCCAGTGCTCCATCTCGAAGAATGGCACCTCCCCGAGCCACGGCACCTTAGGGCATAGAGCACAAATTTGCCGCCCCGCTTTGTCCCGAAGCCGCTGGTTGCCAGGAAAGCGAAGCAACTGACCCAACCGTCGCTGCAGCCGCCGAAGCTGGATCACGAGCACCGCAGCACCAGGGAGAGCGGCCTTGCTGCGCTGAGGGGCACGAGTCAAGGGCCGCCACAGCTGTGACCGCCGAGGGCCGTGAGAACCCTCCTCCGCCAGGAGATCCTGCGCCGTGTCCGAAAGTCGAACCCAGGCCTCATTGACAAGGCCCGCCGCCAGCTCATCCTCGAAATCCTTGGCCTGCCACACTGCCCTCCAAGCCTCCTCAGAGACCTCCGTAGACCGAAGTCGGCGAAAAGTAGGAGACCGCAGCCCAGCTGGACATTCCAATGGAACCTCATACCACACCATGGCGTGATCCGCCAAACTCCATCACTGGTTCACCACCGTCGGGAAAAAACGGCCACAGCCTAAGGCGTAGTCCAGTCGTCTCCCAGACTCGCGAGTCCCTGGCAACGACGTGTCGTTCTCGAAAGCGGCATCCCAGGAAAAAGCCAGCCCTGCAGCCAGCTCGCCCACCACGGCCGCCCTTGCACCAGCCATGGCCGCGTCCTCGTCATGCACACACCCATAGAAGGATGAGATCAACACCTTGGTAAGGCTCCCATTGCAAAGGAGCTGAAAACAGGCGGCGGCCGCCCGATCACTGCACATATGGACGGCCTTGCCCGCGAGCCGCGAAATGACGGCGACTCTGTGCTTGCCGCTCTCCGCCGATCCTAGAAAAACATGCAAACCAGCGCCCTGTGCCATAGAGACAAAGGTCGGTGCCGAAGGCACATCCAGCCCCAGCTCCTGGACACAGAGCACATCCAACGGCCGCTCGTCCTCGCCGAAGAGGCCGATAATCGAATTGATCTTGGCTGCAGCCGCCAGCTGAATATTCAATGTGGCGACGACGATCATTGATCCAAAGGGTCGCCGCCCAGCATTACTGCTGCAGCCAAGGTGAGGAGCCCCTCCAGCAGCGCCGGCGCAATGCCGTGCCCGTACTGACTCTCGGTTCGCCGAACCACGGCCAAAGCCCGAAGGCGACTTCGGACTCGCCATCCCAACGTGTTCTCGCACTTGTGCTTCTTTGCTACCCTCAAGTTGACAAAGCACGCAACACACCCAGTGCACCTCCAGGCAGCCCTCAACTTCAGCCGCACCTTCGACTTCTTGTCCCTTTGGCAGAGCTGTGGCCACGTGAACGGCCGGAAACGGGCAAGGTCGCCGTCCCTCAAGCGCTTGCCCAGGCCCCTGTTCAATGTCGCCGTTCGGACTTCTCAAGACATCTTCGCTGCTCCAAGACGGCTTCCCGCTTCACCAGGGCCACCCTGAGCTCTTGGGTGCCAGTGTACGTGGCATGGGCACGGGCACGGTGGCTCCCATCCTTCCGGACGGGTCGTAACTTGCTCTCCTTCCGACTCTTGGTCTGCAGTGCATTTGCCAGCTTGCTTCGCAACTGCCGGATCACCCGAGATGCCTCTGTGCCACACGTCTCCACACGATGCCCCGTGTTGCCACAAGCAACGCACCTGTGAGGACGCTGCTTCTCCCCGTTGCGCCCACGGACGAGTTTGCGAGCCATGCTCATGACAAGGCTCCGGCTGCTGCCTCCCCTTTCAAGCTTCCTGCTCTTGCACACTTCACATACTTGCCGACTTGCCAAACTGTCCTGTGTTGTGCATGTGTCTGGCACTCCTAGCAACTCCTGTGAACCTGCTCATCAGCCGCACAAGATCAAGAAATTCGGCGCCCCCCTGACAGACGCTCTCCATGCCCTGCACATATCGCAACATACAGTGTTTTGTGCCTGCGACGTGGACGACAACGCAGCGTCAAATATGCACTTCGCGTGTACTACTACGACTACTACTGCTACTGCTACTGCTACTGCTACTGCTACTACTACCACAACGACTACTGCACCTACCGCTGCTACTACTACGACTACTACTACTACTACTCCTACTACTACTACTACTACTACTCCTGCTGCTACTACTACAACAACAACTACTACTACTACTACTACTACTACCAGGACCACCACCACCACTACCACTACCACTACCACTACCACTACCACTACCACTACCACTACCACTACCACTACCACAACCCTACCACTACCACTACCACTACCGCTACGACTACGACTACGACTACGACTACTACTACTACTACTACTACTCCCACGACAACAACAACTACTACTATGATTATTGTTGTTATTATTATTTACTACGACTAGACTACGAGTACGACTTCTAAGACTACCAATACGGGTACTACGACTACGACTATACGACTATACGGACGACGACTACTGCTGCTTCAACTACTAGTGGCAACAGATGCAACCACAGTATCAGCGGTAGCAGTAGTGCTGGTGCGGCGGCAAACCATTGAGCAGCCACTTTGAGAAAGAAGAGGAAGAGGCTGGAGTTGCAATGCAGACGGAACTTCGGCCCGAGATGTTTCCGATTGATGGAAGAATGAAATGAAACCAAGATCAGCCATTGCAGTTCAGCCCTGGAGCCGTATCAACACGGGAAAATAAGCGCAAGGCCATTCTCCGGTCAAGAGGCGAGTGGTCCGAGCGATGCGGATGGACTCTCCTGAGCAAGCCAAGGCTGGGGCACATTTGTAGTTTCAGCGCCGTGTCCATACATGAGGCAATTGGAACGACTTCGCTCGACTGCTGTTCCGTTGTTTCGAGTTGGCATGCCTGCTCGGGCTTCGGGTCGAGAGCTGATCAGGTGCTTCCTGTGTGCAACAACTTGTTTATCAGGCATGGGTATTCAATGTGGCAGCTGCGCAATACCTCACACGACACAGGAGCTTCGAGCATCATCCGTGCACAAGTTGCTCGACACTCACATGCCCACTAGATGTAGCCCAGCATCGTGAGTACTGCTCCGCCGTCGTAGCTTCCGTCTCCTGCAACGAAACTTGTGAATCCCATGGTTGAATTTGCCCACGAATTGCTACGCTGAACTCAAGATGCAAGCAACCACCCCAGCCGCCAATGCAACGAACAAGCGTACACGCTGGTGGCCCAGTGAGTTATGTGATGGCCGATGAAAGCTTCGAGAACGAGGTGAGACTGGGCTTATAAGGATCACTACAAGGATTAGTGTAAGGGTCACCACAAACAAACCGTGCCATGAATCAACTTTGAGGGCTACTTCAGTCACAAAGCATACTCGACAACCCGGATTGTCCTTGGCCGCACGCATGGTGATGTCCACGTACACCTCGGCAAATATCGACAAATACTTGCTTAATGTATCAACGGGCTTCATTACAGTGTGAAGCCTGGCTCATGGCTTTCGCACGGCTTTCTAAAGGTGAATCCTCGGCGGTGAGATGCTCCTCTAGCTGTCTTGACTTTCTCAAGCAGCCCCCGGTCGACGTCAAGCCAGCGTTTACGTGCTTGACCAGGGGCTGCAAGGATCACATTGAAGATTCCTCGGCTGTGTGGTGTGATCCCTGCAGAGCTGCATGATGCCTCGTATGCCTCTCTTTCGGGTACATGGCTCGCAGCCATGTGAACGCGGGGACACCCATGCAGGAAATGCAGCCGACAGTCCTTGTCAACACCGTCCCCTCGCCTACTTCTGTGCAGGGCCGTGGCTCCCATGGAGACAAGCATGTAACTCAGCACGTAGGAGAGGACAAAGGGCCAGCCAAAGACAGAGGACATTACCGAGGCAATGGGTGCACCTGCGCCGAATTTACGATTCACAGCTGTGCAGCTGGTGTCGACTCTTGTCGCATTTCATCGGAAGCTTGGACTGAAGTACATGAGAAGCCCAGCCAGGTTCTGTTCACCCATCCCGGTCTCGCCTGTGTCGGCAAAGCACTCGCCCGAGAAGCAGCGAAAGGAAGTGAACATAGACCTGAGTTCCGTATCTCGAGCCTGGTGCGGGCATGCGCTGTTAAGCTCGTGCTGGTGGAAGCCTCTTGTTACAAGCTGACCAAGACAAACCGCAAATCTTAAGTGGCTTTGTGGAAACTTGGCACAAACCGTGCAAAGGTGCTGCGGGATGTTCTCGAAGTGGCCCTGGAGATCTCCTGCAGCGCTGAGCAACTTGATGTGGAGTGCCATGCATTTCCGTGCGCTTTCTGCTGCCGTGTGGTTGTACTGCTCTGATGAGCGGGCAATGTTGTGTTTCGAGGTTCAGGTTCTCCAAAAATCTAAGCTTCCTTGGGCCAAACCCAACCTGTCCGGCCATGGGGCAGCGGCAAAGATAGCCACTTCAGCCTTTCACTTTAGCCTCACTGTGATCAAGCTGCAAGTCCCCGGAGGCTAAAAGCTGCATGGCGAAGCTCTTGGCATGCTGTCATCGGCGGGTTTCATGCCACACTGTGAGACGTGTAAACCCAAAAGGACATGACATGGGCCCCTGGAGTTTCGTGGTGCTCCGTCCTGGAGTGCGACTATCACGCCCGATGGTCATCGTGGCGAACCCGGCGATAACGTAAAGGACCTGCTTTGTGTGGCTTCTGTGTGCAGCCGTCTGCATGCCAGATTTCCCCGCAAAGGGTGCAAGCTGTTTCGCGGCCGGGTGGGAATGCCTTGAAAGGGCTTACAAATCGTGAGCACTTAAGCGTGCTTAACCATGCCCGGGCACCGCAAACAGCAGGGCGAAGGCGAGCAGCAGAGTGCGGATACCACCAACCAAGCCCTTGACCATCAAACGCAGCTCCTGCAGTCAGATAGGGAATTCCGTCTTGCAGTCAGCGCTATGACATGGAGTCGAAGAACCCGACGTGAAAGTCTGTCACACCAGACTAAGCCGTTTGCGCTTGAAGTGGATTGCAAATGCATGTGGAGCGAAAGGCTCGGCGCGATGCCGCATGCTGCGAGTGGAGATGGGTGCAAACGCTAACAAACCTTGGCCTACTGAGTCCTACTGTCCTACTGTTTCTGCAGGTCCTTCATGTAGTTCAGACGGAATACTTTCCTCAGTGTCACGTCTAACCCTGGATGAAAGTCTCGTCCAGTCGTGTCATTTCAGAAGCCTACCGACTCGGTAGCCAGGTCCGCAGACCTGTTTGCATCACACTGCTGCTTGCCATGTACTGCCACAGTGGACCTTGCTGGCAGACGTGCCTAATCGATCAGTGCTGCAAAGCATGATCCTTCTGGCTGCCGCTCTTGCAGCGCTGCGGCTGCTTCTTCGTCTAGGAGTCTTTGTAGCTTTCGGGCTCAAGACTTCTTCCTGTTGACTGGCTGATTGGTCATGTCAATGTTCGGCAGACAGGCTAGTCGCTTAAACAAGCCAGAGGCGGAAAGAGCTTAGCAGCTCGCAGCTTCTGACGGTGGACACCCTGCATTGTCCATGAGCAAAAACGTCACCGAAATGCCAGAATCTTTTCCTTGCAGCTTGGGCGTCACCACACGAACCAGCCGTATCAGGCGGCAGAATCGTAACAGTGAGGCGCCGAACATGTCCGAGTTCTCCTGCTGTTGCGCGGAAAGTTTGGACGTTTTGGACGTCGGCTGATGAATGCACTTCAGCGAAGGATGCTAGTGACACTGGTCCTGCATGGTGAGCTGGAAACTCACGTCCGTGACTGCCTCGAAGCGCAGCACTGCTTCTACCGAGCTCTGCCAGGAAGCAAGGAGGGCTCTCTGACGGCAGCACTCACCTTCTGAGGAGGCAGCTGTGCATACCAAAAACAGATCGAACAGGTTCCAGAGCCGCTCCTGGTTTGCAAATCCGTCCAGAATACATCCACGAAATTGCAAGTTCTGCAAGAAGCTTGTCTTATCTTATCCGTCATCTGAAACATAGAGACATTGATGCGTGTGAAGCGTTGTTCAAAGACTGCCGCTGAGTAGCAGCCCAAAACGTAGAACCTCGAACTCCTAACCGCAGACTCAGACCTCGTGCACGAAGTTACAACAGCCTGTGCATTCCTTTCTTTACCACCCTCGCCCGGTCACCTCGTTACGACCATGATTTTTTATGACACTTGTCATTTTTGTTTTTATGGCTCCTGCTGTTCTTGTTGGTGCTGTGTGGCTTTTGGTGCTGCTGCTGCTGCTGCTGCCGCCTCTGCCTATTGCAGTTGCCGCTGGTGTTTGTTTGTTTGCTTGTTTTTTTGGCTGCCTCTGCTGCTGTTGTTATTGTTATTGTTGTTGTTGTTGTTGCTATTGGTGTTGGCATCATTACTGTTTGTGTTTGTTGTTGTTGTTGTCCTTGTTGCTACATGTTGGTACATGTTGGTGCCATCAATGCCTCCGGAATTGCCATTGTCATGAGAATTGCTAAGTGCTACCGTTGCTGTTGTAATCGTCATCATCACGGATTCTGTCATTCAAGGGGCCTGAACAACTGAACAGTTGCGGCCGGCATGCAGATGAGCAGAAGAAGCCCCGAAGGCCCCCGGAGAGCCAGACTCGCATGCAGCATTCCAGCACCAGAAGAATGGCCTCGAGTGAGTAAAGTTTTGGACCTGTCGGGTTCATGTGTCAGGTTATCGCAATTGCAAAATCTGTTTGGTCCTGTGCTCAAGGCGTTCGGGCTTCTGGGTTTCAGTTCGCCCAACCTCGGGTAGAGGTCTATCGGCTTCAAACATCGGAAAGGCTCTGATGTACTATGGACATGTGGCGATGGACGGCAGTTTGCTTGACCTAAATGGGCAGCTCGCCCCGCTGCTGCTTGTGCTTCTGCTCATCGTACTACTCCCGCTGCTGCTAACTGCTGTTAACTCCTACTAAATACTGCTGACTCCTGCGAACTACCGCCAACTACTATTGCTGCTGCGTCTGCTGCTACTGCTACTACTGCTACTGCTGCTCTTCTAGTAGTAGTAGTAGTAGTAGTAGTAGTACTACTACTACTACTACTGCTACCACAACACCACTATCACTACCACCGCCACTGCCGCTACCACTGCTGCTACACTACTGCTGCTACTGCTCTCACTACGGGTTGTCATTTTTCTACAAGGTAGCAATGATACCCAACAGTTATCATAGTAGTGAAGCAACAAGTGCAAACTGTTGACAGCACCTGAGGCGAGCGGAAGTTCAAGAACAGGGACGACGACACTGTACTGGTGCTGGTGTTGCGGCGGAAGCTCGGCCTCACTCCAACTAGCACGACCTCCGAAATAGTACGAGTGCCAAATTCCTGCTCGGCAAGTCCAAGCTGCAAAGGCCAGCTCCACGTAAGGCCAGCCCGGCCAATGCTCAAAGCGGGGGTCCGTCTGGAAGCCGATCAGAATACCGTTCCTGGAAGCTTGTTGCAATTTTGGCAGTTGCTGTTGCCTGTTCATTCTAGGAATACTGCTCGTGTCGTTCATGTTGTCGAACAACCAGTCTTGCGTGAGAGCAGTGGCGGAAACTGTCAACATGGCACAGATGCTTGGGCGGCTGGTATGATATCAAACCTGCTTTCTCATTGGATAACACATGAGAGCACTCGAAGTACGAAGTCCGGCCCTGTATCTAAAAGTGTATATATATATATATATACATACATACATATATATATATACATATACATACCATTGTATAAAAAACCTCTCGCACCATAATATAAATGTATATGTATAATATATAGATGTAAGCTACTACTTGCATATACAGTAATGTGAATAAACTAAATAAACGAACTAACTAACTAACTAACTAAATATATATATATATATGTATGTATGTATGTATGTACGTACGTACGTATGTATATATTTACATGTGCACACATACACACATGGATATAGATGTAGATATAATTATGCATGTAGGCAAGCCATCCACCAGCAACGTGTATGCAGGGCGATGCAGCCTCATGTGAAACTTTTGTGCATTGCGCTTCACCTGTAAAGTCTATGCAGCAAACCCACCCTCAGCGTATCGACCTCTGCTTTCTTGCTTTCTGTTCAGGCATGGATCACCAGAATCAGCATGCAGACCACAGGCTCGATGTAGAACCTCTGCTTGAGAACAGGTACTGTGCTTCTTTCATGGGCTCGGTCAGGGCCCTCAGAAAAGCCAGGATCTCAAGACCGCACCCCGAACGAGGGCTGCAGGAGTACAGATCCTGGTCTGCACCGCTTTGTTGCTATGCCGAAGTGCAAAGCGTCCACTGCCTCTGGCGGTGCAGCTAAGTCGTTGATGCGGACCTCTGAAGTTTGAGGCAGCTGGACTAATATAAGGCAACCTGCCTCACAGAGCCTTCAATGGATCGGCTGGGTTGCAGCACCCGCCCGTGCGCTGATGTTTCTGGCTCGGTTCCCTTCCATATTGTCCATAAGCAAGGACATTCATGAGTACAGTGTCTGTACGTGTCCGTGTGTGCACTGTAAGAGCTTTTCACGAAAGTCACTCCAATGTGGTAGCTAACGTTGATTCAGCCGAAGACGCGAACGTCAGCTCGGCCACCAGCTTGTTTGTGTCACCGGCCAGGAGAATCTCCCTCATGGCCTCTGCCAGTTACATTTCTTCTGATGCTGTATGCTGGAAACTTAACACATCTTCAAGCTATGTCTAACTGGCACTTGGCCTAGGCACTTCGAGTCGAGCGGAATGGGGTCGGCTCTCTGGGCGCGCGTTTAGCGCTTCATACTGTTGTTTCTGCTGAAATTGGCTGAGACCTCCACTCAGACTCAACAAGACCCATCCAACGAAAACTGATCGGAAGTCCTGCGTTAACCTTCAACCCTGCCCGGCTCTGGGAGGGAGATATCTGCATGGGGATTCGTTCAATTTCCTTGACCAAGTCCCCAGCCTGAAACTGTTTTATCGAGCGTGCTGGGAAGATGCGCCGTTGAATCTCTGCATCCTCACAGGGATTGAAAACATCTGATGGTCGAGATGGTACATTGCCCTCATTGAAACCTCCATGACGTCTGACTGAGTGCAACCCGCTACCCTTTGCCATCTTGCCCGCACATGCCCGCACTACTTCTTCAAGCAGCTTGATTAGCGACACCGGTCTGGTCTGACGCGAAGCGAACAGAAGATGATTGCTCTGCACGCAAAATACCTTGACGAATCCTGAGGAGCTGGACACCCGGGTGACAGCATGTGCATCATGAGCCATCATGCGCATAGCATGCAGCATAACAGTGAGTGGGTGCACTTCAAGACTCCACCCCGAGAGCCGCTGTCGAGGACCCAGCGAACGCAAAGTGGTCGAACGTTTTCCAGGGCACGGGGATCAAAACGCTGGACACAGGGCATGAGTCGAGAGTGCAAGAGCCGCAAAGCGTTTTGTTACAGTAAACTCAGCTGAGTGGCCAGTTGTATGCAGGGTTGGGGGGCACTGTGCACGCAATGCGCAGATCGACAGCCCCTGCTTGCAACATTTCGTGGTGAAGAGGGTGTGTCGTGCCATACCTTCAAACGGAGAGTGGAATTGCAGTTAGCTGCGATGTGCTCATGCTGCCTCCGAAACTCTATGGATCCTTCTTGGATTCTTGCCAGAAAGAGAAGCAGATTCATCACAGGTGCACTTTGAAAGTGTAGTGTGCATCTGTAGTGCTTGACAGTGTTTCACACTGCCATGCGTGGAGCTACGACCACCAGGTCCATGCAGTCGCCAAATTTCAACCTGCCCATGTCGCCTTGCGGAGGAAGATATCCATGAGGGCTTTGGCAGGCACGACATTGAAGTCGAAGATTCGATGTTCACCCGTCGTCGTCTCTGTCTGCGTTCCCTGCATCGGAGGCGATGCAGCAAGCATACAAACGCCAGCCGACATGACCTCGAGGCTGCGGTTTAGAACCGACGCTTCTACTTTGGCTTGCCTTCTCCATAGATGGCCACTGCCAAACAGCCTTGCCCAAGTTCTCGTGCTCCTCCATGGGATCGCATGATATGGGTGACTTCCGCAGAGTGCAAGAACCGGGGTACATTTCAATTTTTGCTAGATCTCGAGGCTGAAAAGCATGCTCAATAAACGGACGCTGTGCCTGAGTCGAGAACATGCTGTTCGTGGACCGGCCGCGTGTCAGCTGAGAGAGCTGAGAGTCCTGCGAGCTGTGCAGACATCCCTGGGCCTTTCCAAGCACTACAGTTTCTCTCTTCTCGGCTTGAGCACACGTCTCGGGATTTTCTGCTTGCGTCCCAAGATGACACTTTGCACCTCCTTCTTGACGAAGCGAAGGTTGATAAAGGCGGCCATTGCATTCACAAGGTCATTCATGTCCTCCCAACGCGGCCGCAACTAAAGTTGCAACTGCCTTCTGACAAGTGTCGGGAACCGCGCTCTAGCAGCGCACGGATCTTCAGATCTGGATCTGCCGCAGCGGACGAAACCAGAATCTGTTAAATTAACGCCGCATCAGCTGTGCTTAAGTCAACCAAACCAAAGTCAATATCCCGCAGTATTCAAGGCAACTTCAAAGCAATGCCCCAGGCCTCGACTGTGTATGTTGTCAAACCCAAAGATGTCACTGCATCATGCAGATTCCTGTCTTGCTGCGGGGAGGGTCCAGCCCAGAAGTGCTTCGAAGGGAGGCCAAGGTATCAAGCCTCTAATCTCCAAAAGCTAGTAGATGCTGTAGTAGCATCGAGGGCCACGCGGAGTATTCGTGCGTCTCTGAAGCTTGCTGTGCACATCTATTTGGATCAACACCAGTGGCTCGAAACCTCCTCCCACCGGAAACGATCCTTTCAATGGGTCGAGTTGCGGCGGACATCTTCGTCAGAACTTTGTATCGAACCGCGAATTCAACAGGGCAAGTTGTACTTAGACAAAGGGTGCAAGTTTGTGCGATAGGTAGAATACTACGCTGGGCAGGACAGCCTGGGTAGGGCGGGGGCGAAGGGGCAGTAGTAGGGTTGAGCCTCATGTTTTGACGAGATACAGCATCGGGAATCATCCAAAAACTCTGTGTTTTCTCAAGTCATGACTCCGGATATCACCCTTATGCAGTGTTTGTTGCAAGAATGATGAATCGTCACTCGCCCACTTGTATTTTGCAGATCGGGCATTTCTTGTTCCTGACTCCTGTTTCTGTCTAGCTCCGGCAATACCCCCTGAGGCCCAAGGCAGGCAAAAGCGCAGCTCAGGTGCTTTCCCGATATCAGCTGCTGCGAGGAGAGGATATTCAACCGAACCTCCAAGACCCCAAGCCAGCTTGCCGATGACTGGACTGGGCATTTCAGTATCTCTGTGCGTGCGCGATCTAGATTGTGCAACAGGCCATACGAAGTCACAATGCGTCCCCAAACCAATGCTCATGTCAGCCCTGCTTCCAGCTTGACTATGGACATGTCCACCAAGCCCCCTCATGTGCCTGCAGCCTGTGTCGAACAGATTTCTGTGCCGCCGGATCGGTGGCCTTGGTCCGAGCCGAGCATCACACGCTGGCCTGAGGTTGCCTGACCAATGCCCTGATTGGGAGGTTGGTACATGTTGGTACTCCGTAGCTCGATCGCGACTTCTTGCCTGTGCCGGCAGCCCAGCCTCTGCTCTCCACGCGTTGTTGATGGTGGCCTCCTGCTCCACCGCCTAATCTTCGTCCAAATTCGTGCAGTGCGTCGCGGATTTCTATTATGTGACTGATGGGAAAGCATTGGAAAAGGCCCGGCCTTCTCATACATGCCTGTGCTGCCCACACCTGCGACGCGATGGTAAGTGCCCTCTGGATTCTTCGATGTGGGCTGGATGTGAGCTTCCCTCGCTAAGCAATGAGTCGAAGGCAGCCTGCTCAGGTCGACCAAAAAAGCTAAGTAGCGCTTGCAGCGCACCTTCAGTTCTGTGGCCAAAGGAACAAAGGAATCAAGTACCGTGTCTTGGTGTGATTTCCAGATGTGGTGCTTTTTGTGAGCATTGCTGCAGGGGCAGTTGCTTCTTCCCAAGCCCTGACAGCACGAATGCCTCCCAGAAAGTCGGTTTGTCAGGTAGCGAACAGATCGCGCGCTCTCTTTCACGCTCCCCTTGCGGTGTTTGCTGCGACTTTCCTACGGCTTTAGCACTTGGCTGGCTCGTTTGCCACATGCATTTACTCGGCCATCGCTTCAGCTCTAGTCAATTTACACACGACTTTCAGCTTTGAGCAGCTGCAGCAGCGTGCAGGTGAAATCTCCCTGCGATTGAGGACGTGTCTTCGGCTTACAAGGAGTTTCCGATTTCCGTGCAGCTAACCCCTTGCTCCTAGGGAAGCACACGGGGGCACCTTCGGAGCTGAAAGTGTGGGAGTCAGTCGCCGGCCTCCTCGGACATTGAGGGGACATCCGACTGAGAGGCTGCGAGTCAAACTGAAGCTTGCGCCACTCTTGAAGTCTCCCTGTGCCCTACGACTCGATGTCTCGCCGCCCATTGCAGCTGAACTTCCAGCCGGGCGACTCCGCCTGCCCAGCGGTGAGCATGAAACATCTCACCAACCAAGAGCTTCAACAAACACTTAACATCGCTTGTCTGAGGTCAAGGAAGTTTTGGGGGTTCCATCATGATCGCTGTCACGGCCATATCGTAAGGCTGTTGCGTCTAAAGCCTCACCTTGATCCTCTGCAACATCTCCAGGTGTGCCGATAATGTCGGATCGTCCGCAGCAGTGTCGGCATGTGCCTGCATTCGCAAAGCAGACGGGCTGGGCAGTCCTGGCATGTCTCGGACCTCTGTTAACGTGTCCGAAGAAACGTCGATCATGCCTTCAAGAGTCCAACCTTGAAAGGGCTTTAATTCGACCACGCAATCTAAAGCCACTGCTTCGGCCTCCAGAAGCGTGTGGCGAAAGCCCTGCCATGCAGCGTCAAGCACCTGGCCACAGCAAGATACGATACTACTAGTGCTTACTTCTAGGTTGAAAAGGGACTATGCAAGCGGATACACACACGACTAGCTCACTGCATCAAGATTAGCCAGGTCATTTTAGCTGGCCATCATGAACTCTGGCAGAATCAGCTGTTGCAACGCAACATTGACGATCGAACGTAAGGACACCGCAAATAACCACAATACCAACTTAACACCGTTCAGGTGCTCGTCCGTGCCCTTGCCTCTGCGAAAGGCTCTTTCGACGAGGATTTCTCTACCATGGCTGCGCAGGGCGGGTTGGTTTACCACTGGAAATTCGCTGCTTCAAAGCCTACGTTTGCAGGCTATCGGAGCTGAGGAGTGACCAGGGATCAAGGGGCCCAGGGGCCGAGGACTGACAAGACAAAGCTGCTAAGCTACGAGTTGCGGAGTTTGAAGCTTGAAGCTGTTTGAACTGCCGAGCTTGGACTTGGACCGGTCCTGCAGATGCATCTCGAGGCTCGAACCGGCTTCGTGAAACAGAACCATCCCGAGGTGGGTACACTGTTTTCCGGTCGCGCAGTACGTGCAACAGAAACATCGTTGCTAGTCCAGCACTCGCAGGACTAAAGCGACGCCCAATGCGTGCCTGAAGGAGTAAGACATGGCTGCAAACGATCATGGTGTGAAATGCTGGGAGGCAGCCTGGGCAAAAAGGAAAAACGCATCTTCTGCGTGGGCTCTAATCTATTCGACCCTCTTGACTCCGAGATTTGACAAAACTTGGGCACCTGGTCCGCGACATGGCATCGTTGCTCGAGCGATGGGTGAAGACTCCTACATGATCTGTGATGAAGGTCTTTGCGCACAGCCTTAAGTTCGCTTCCAGCGAAGCTGCAAATCCCGTTTGCATGATGGAGGCATGAGGCTCGCACACAGGGACATCCTCTATCTGGGGGAATGGCCTAGGATCGACAGCCAGATGGAGTGCTGCCTTGTTTGAAGACATTTATTGTTCCTCGCCTTGCCCAAGATAAATTCGCAGCTTCGGTGCATAACTCCTTCGTATGTGTCTCTCTGTGTGTGCGCACTAACTTACAGAGCAAGAGCAACTGTGGTGAGATGACATTATGCCGCCTATCCGGGTTAAGCTTCAGCAGGACTGCATACACGCGATCCGAATCCTATATCTACAAATAAGCTCAAACGAGGAGCTGAGAGTCGGGTTGCCAGACATTCTACGGGCATTGCGCAATTGCGCAATCGGTGAGACCTTGATGAAACGGCCGATTAGGGCGAAGAGATCGAATCTACTGGCCTGTGTCGCTGCACTACGAACGACAAGCGAGCTTTGACTGCTGCAGATGGTGCCAGCATTCCATTCTCACATCAAGTCTAGTGCTCAACGTAGTTCTAGGCCACCTTTGCACTTGCAGGAAAATTCTGGATCATGCGTGATTCCAGCTCCGACAGCGTGTTGCGCATCTCCTGGGAGAGAGTGGGACGTTGAGGATGTTAGCATCGTTTCACAACATGTGGGTCCTGAGCAACCACATGCACTGCTACTACAGTCAGCACAGCACTGCATCTTCGGGTTGGTTGTGGAAATGGTGCGAATTGCATGCCGGGACTCCGAGACCATCTCTTGAAGTGCCTTCGTTGCCAGAAGTGTTGCCACGGTGTCACTCTTTTTGACGTCTCCGCGGATCTTCAGCATGCCCTGCGATACTGACACCACAGTCATGGAAAGTTCACTTCTCAGTCAACTACTTAGCCTGCTGAACCTAAACCGGCTAACCTACTTTGCAGAACTACGTGCAGGCCTGCACAAGCTCAGTGACGTCCATTGTGCCACTACCATCCGCGTCGATGACCTTGTCCCGAAGCGAGTTGGCACGGATGTATCGGACGTACGACTTCATGGTGCAATCATTTGTGCGGATGGCCGCCAACAGTTTGACAGAACTGAAGTTCTTACCAAAGGAGGTGATGGTCGAATCCTAGAGTATCCTAGAGTGTTCTCGGCACGAAGTGTGGCCGCATAACTGCATAATCGTGATTCGTTTCGGTACCTCATTGTTCGTATCATGGGAAGCTCTTCAGCATGTCCGGCTCCTGTTGCACCTGCTGTGCATTCAACTGTCAAGCAAGGCATAGAGGTGGGAATCGTTGGACAGAATGCAAAGCAATCCAGAATGAACGGACACGACCCCCTGCAGCCCTGACAGCAATGTAACAAAGGCCCTACACTGCCACCGGATCCACCCCAACATATACTCTAGGGCCAAGAATTAGAATAGGGTGTTGGGGCATACTAT